TGGGGAATTCTGGGAGTTGATGTCCACCCCTCTTAAAGTTGCTGAGGATGAGAACTGTGTCAGCTATTCACCTTTCCTGGATGGGTTGTCTTTTGGCAAAGACAGCGCGTTCACCCCACCCTCTTCCCCACCTCTGGTTCCTGGGAGGGTTTTATCTTGACGGTCCCTGCCTGACCCTGCTCGATTATGGCTCCCCCCCAGCAGCGAACGCCACCTTGCGCACTCTGCCCGGGGAGAGCTGCAGCAGAACCCGGAGTCGCTCACCATGTCGTCATCAAAGCCAGCCAGCCGAATCACCTTCTCGGCCACGGACGCCTTGCCCATGTCCATTTCCACAGTGTACAACCGGGCGCCCAGGGGTAGCGATTGCGCAATGACGATGGAGGTGTAGCCGCAGTAGGTCCCCAGCTCCAAAACAGTGAGGGGGGCTTTGTCATAGATCAGTCGCTCCAGGATCTTTGCTACAAGCATCACAAATATCAAAGGGGAAGGGCGGGGTGGTGAATGAAAGCCAGAGGGAGATTGGGTTCATACCTTACGCTAATCCATGGTCTGCTCAACCATGCTGTGGGGAACCATATACTAGCCAACCACATTTCAGGCTCGTGGGCAGGGTGAAATCTATCCACGGGGGCAATTTATTGCTCAGTGTATCACCTCAACTCAGAAAATTGGTTAACGTGGTTCAGGTTCACGCGGCTAAATATGAAGTCATTTCACAGTCATAAGAGACTACGTTCTCACGTCACACTAGGCTTTTATGGATCAAACACTTGCTGCAGAACATTCCAGGCCATAAGCCATGATTTACAGCTCACACTGGGCTGAATTTACACCACGCAAAGCTATGATTTGCTTAGTCACCGTTTATTGAAAAACACACAATTGGTTGGATTCCCAGGTTAAGCCATAAATCATGGTTTACAAGACACAAGAACTGCCCAGTGCCACACACTAAAGATAAAACCAATCCACGTTTTGTCATAGCAGGTTGTGTGAACCCAGTCGTAATGGCTTAGCCCAGTGTTGTCCAAACTTGGCCATTTTAAGATGAGTGGACTTCAGCTCCCAGAATTCCTCAGCCAGCCATGGGTTGTTGGGAGTTGAAGTCCACTCATCTTAAAGTGGCCAAGTTTGGACAACACTGGCTTAGCCCATTGAGCTTTCTCTTAAGGATCTAATCCTTAAATCTTGATGGAAGATAGCAGATGTAAACAATAATTGTGTTTATACATCCCATTAAGAAAACCTTAGTCACCATTTAGTGCATGAACCTGTCAAAGAATCATGCTGCGCTTTACAACAAGTTGGCTTTGGTACGTTGTGTGAACACAGCCAACGTCTCCAGGGCCATATCAATGGGGTCCTCTCCAGAACTCTCTGGGGACTGAAGGAGAGGATGGAGTGGGCCTTCGCTGCGGTACTCTTTCGACCTAAATTGCTGGGTGCCTCAAATCTGGGCAGGTGGGAGGAGGGGTCTCCTGAGCGCACACCTTTCTGGGGTCCCAGGTTGCTGAGATACTCGCAGTGGTAGCTCCACTGGTCGAAGGTCTCCAGGATGTGCAGAGGGTCTCCAGGGATGGCGTGGGTCAGGACATAGTGGAAGGCCCTCTCCTCCCGGGGGATGCCGGTCAGGGAGTCCCGCAGCCTCCGAAGCAGCACCGCGCAGTAGAAGAGCAGGAAGTAGTGGCGGTAGCGAATGAGCAGGGTGACCACGAAGGGCACGAATGCCAGCGCGATGGCCGGAGAGACCATGGTGGCCCACAAGAGGGCTGGCTGGACAGGGACAGATGGACAGGAGGCAGCCAGTGGAGCCTCTCCCCTCTCCCCCCACCCCCCACTTTGCTTTAAGTTGCAGCTCAGTCCCTCGGAAGGCGCATCTTGCTGGGAACAGACAGTCCCTCTTACACCATTGTTTCTATCGAAAGTTGGTCCACGTGCGCAACTGCACCGTGCTTTCCCGAAGGTGTGAGCACAGATCTACTCTCCGCACAGGGAACATCCCGGGGGATTTGGATTTCGCTCCACGGCAATCCTGAAGGGGAGGTCAGGCTTAGAAATGCAGCTGTGGATAACCACATTGCGCCCCTTGTAGCTTGGTCAAGCTTCCCTGCTCTTACGTAACACAAAGGCTACGCATCATTGGCACCATAATGTGCGTGGCATCATTGTGGCATCTATTGGACATCCGTGGCTGAGCATCTTCTGCACATCTGGCCCATGGTGACTTAATCAACAAACCATGGTTAATCAAATTGTAGCTTGGCATGATGACCAAAGCTAGCTTGGCTTCAGGGCTCTGGGGACCTGAATTTTTGGCCATTCCATGAGGTTATTAACTTCCATGGCAGCACCCACCTTAGTGGTCCAGTATGTATCAAGGAGATGTCACGTGTGTCAAGACATTATCATGCAAATGATGTGAATTCACTTCATTCAGGCGATGATGTCATGACAGACACAACGTCATTTGTCCCCTGTAGGCATCCATGATGTCAGCAGTGACCAGATTCGGACATGCACTACGCCTGTTCAAAATAGAGACATGGGCTGGGCACAAAGTTAGCATCAAAAACAGGGTTGGCCCTTGGGCTTCCTCTGAGAACCAGGCCAAGCCGCGTGTGCGTCTTGTGGACTCATCCCATGCGTGGGTGAAGGTTCTGAACCTGGCCACCAAGCTGGTCCTTCCAGGGGGAGAGATGGCCGCCCCATGGCCTCCACTGCCTTTGTACGAATGCGATCACGAGGGGTGTATTCTGTGGGGGTGACACTGAGACGGGTCGCCCTAGACTCGGGTTGGGAACCAGGCCCCAGAGATGCAGAACCAGCAACACCAGGAGGGACTGGGACTCATACAAGGGGCAGGCAGCGAAATGAGGGAGATACCGGGGGGCGGGGGAAGGAACTTGAAGGTGGCTTTCCCTCCTGGACTCATCCTCAACCGCTTTCCCTAACCCTGGCTCCATGCGTCCCAACCCCCTCTACTTCCTGCCATATCCCTGGGTCACGGCCTGATCTCACCCCCAGCCCAAGAGACAGGCAGCCTGACGTCCTTAACATTCAGTGGTCCAGGGGTCTCTTCCCCTTCATCCCGCCCCGTGGTGTGGAAAGCCTGCTAGATTTGTTCCTCAGGACCTCGGAGGGAAGTCGGGCAACTGCAGGTGGGGGGAGGCACAAATGGGGGCAGCAATTTCAGGCCTGTCGCTTCTTTCTCCAAGAATGTGGGGAGACCAAGTCAACAAGGTGTGGGGAAAAGTCCCAAACTGGGGAAGGCTGCCACAGGGCAGCCCTTAAATTGCCTTACCTGCCCGGAGCTGCACCGAGATCGGTCCTTTGTGTGCTTGGAGGATGAGCTTCAGTTGCGCCTCTCTAATGACGGCATGAATGATTGATGGCAACACCGAAGCTGCTTCCTGGGTTACCTGCCTGCTGGTACCTGTCCTCCTGGGGCAGGTGGCCAGTGGGAAAGGAGCAACGCAGGGACTGCGCCCCATCTTAACCCTGGACAGACCAAGCCTTGAGGGGCAAGCTCTGGCGAGACAAATGTCCCTCTTTGTCGGAAGGTTTTGGTTCTGCCCAGTTAGATGGAGGGCAGAAGGGCCCAGGCCAATTCCAAGGCCAGGTAAGTCTTTTGTGCCTCCCAGGGATGCCCTCCCCCCCCCCTGCCCACTTTGGGAGGTTCTGAGCATCTTTAAGATGAAGACTCCGGAGCAACAAGAGGATTCTGACCGGAGGGAGTGCGTTAGCTGTGGCTGCTTCTGCACCTTAATTCTTACTAGAAACATCTGTGAAGGGACACGAGTAAACCAGGGTTAGCTGAATGATCCTGATTGTCCACTTTGCATGACACACTGAACTGCGAGCGAACTCTGTCTACTGGGTTTGCGTGAGACACTAAACCACAAACCAGCCAGCCCCATTTCATCCTGACCCGAGTCCACATGGGCAGCTCCCAGTTTGGCACATGGCATAAACTGAGTGACCAGAGGTCATAACCAAGGACAGCTAAGCATGTGTGAGGACAACAGAGCAACACAGAACCCGGTGCAGCCCGGCTCCTGCAGTGGAAGATTTCGGATCCAGTTCCATTGGTGGAAAGGA